AGGCTCAGACCCCGCGTCTCATCCCGTTCGTAGTCGGCGAGTTGGTCCTTCAACTCGTCGAGTCCAAGGCAAAAATGGAAGAATTATGAATTTTAAATTACAAGAAATACGTACCGGGAACCAAGTACTACCGAAACCAGGAGATCATTGTGTCCCTGGCGAACGTCTCTGTTTGATGTACCGTCGGGGCTAGATCGAAAGTTGTAGAAACGTCGCTTGTCGGCGCCATCACCGACGAAAGGGTCCAGCTCCACCCGTTCTCTTATCCAATCCAAAAAGTTGGTGGTTCTACCGTGTTGTGGGTTGGTGCTACTGCTCTGGTGGTGTCGAACTAAGGAGAGGATAAGGGTTTCTAGGTCTGTGAAAAGAGAACAATGATTTTTAAAGAAGTAGGGGGAATCGGTGGTGGTGTTATATAAAACTGATAACCTAAATTAGTGGGATATTGATTGATTTTGTATTCTTTTACCATAATGAATTATAGTGTAGATTACTCTTATACCCTTTTATTATTTATTAGGGATTTAATTATTTCCTTAATTCTCATTGGTCTTTATAAGTACACAACAGTTGCTAAAAACATTTGAACCTAGTTTTATATATATATATATATATATATATATATATATATATATATATATATATATATATACATATATGGGTAAAGTGAATATACCTAACAACCTTATATAAGCTTAGGTACCTAACCTCATCAAACTAAGTCATTTTGCATTAAATTTACTTTGCAATTATCCAAGGTTCTTAAACTTCATCCCTAAACTTGATTTACTTCAAAAAAATTTGGAAATTCATCATTATATTTCTCCTACATCCTTTCATTTGTAGCGGTAGGATATGAAGCCCATCAGGTGGTATTCGATAGAAAGATGTGATGTAAAAGAAAGATATTGGTGAAAGTTCAAAGATTTTGGAAGTAATCAAGTTATGGGGATGAAGTTTAAGAACCTTGGATAATTGCAATGAAAAATTAATGCAAAATGACTTAGTCTGATGAGGTTATGTACCTAAGCTTATATAAGGTTGTTAGGTATATTCACTTTACCCTATGTATATATATATATAGATATATACCGGGCGATTTCATACGAAAATGTAAATAATTTGCGAAAACGCAAAAACAAGGAAAACTTATCAGATTGTGTCACCTCAACCTTATATTTTGGACAAGAATTCATCCAAACTTTAGAATACATGATAATAATCTATGATATATGAGAAATTGTTTCATATTAGCCAAACATGTTTTTTCGACAATTTTATTATGAAAACATGAATTTAAAAGTGGTTAAAGACGTGAAAAAAAAAAGAGAAACAATTGTTAAAAACAACCCTTTAAATCTATATTACGATAACACCCTCCAATGTAAACTTATTATCTTTTATTTATTGCTAATAAATTTAATTTCTAAAATACATGTGTTTGATTTTTATAAGATAAAATTTGTTTTCATATTTTCACAAAATATTTGCGTTTTCACTATATATATATATATATATATATATATATATATATATATATATATATATATATATATATATATATATATATGTTGTGAAATACGTTCCACATTAGCTACTCAGTGGACTAAGGTTAAATGATCAATCTGTTAGGCGAGGATTAACTGGAAACCATATATTGTTAAATAGATAAATTTAAGAAAATTAATAAATAATATCATAACAAAGTTCATAATAATACAACACTAATTATTCGTCAAATAGTTTATATTAATAATTTAATATATAATTTTTCAAAGTGTTCAAATTCCATCGCATGCAACTACTTCACTCGTTGTACAAGCACGAATGAATTGATATGCATGTTCTAATCAACCGATGCGCCTGGGGACTAATTAGAAATTAATTGAGACCTAGTCGGGATTTTTATAACACTTATATATATATATATATATATATATATATATATATATATATATATATATATATATATATATGTCGCGTCGAGATTTATAAAAAAACAAAAAAAAAATTCAGAAAAAAATATTCATATATGATTACCGTTATTCATATATGATTATCGGGTAATCTTATATGAATGAAATTTTTTTTAAGACCACTACTTTTCGAAAATTCTTAATAGAACCCTATTATATATATATATATATATATATATATATATATATATATATATATATATATATATATATATATAAAAGCAAACACGTATATACAAATGTTGATGGAAAAGGTGATGTGATTCTATATATATGGTACTTTAGGGGTTTAGTTCTTTGGTTTTTGAGGTGAGAACGTTTTTATTATTATGAATTAATAATAATAATAGATGAGGATGTAAAGGTAGGTTTCATAATAATCAAAATACTAAATGCCTAAAATTTCAAACATGTATAGTTTATGTTATTTATATTATATAGCTTAAGAGATTTATAATTATGGTTTGTAAAGGTTGATTTTTAATAAATAAATAGATCAAAAAAGGTGAAATCGGGTGCTAGGTAACAATTTTGGCGGTTCTAGTTCTGGTTCCAAAGTATTTTGGACCGTGATAATCGGTTTCGGATACTATATTTGAAGAATTGTTTGTACCAGTTTCATTTCGAGTTCCAAACAATTCTGACAGGTAACCGTCTATGCTCACCTCTCTCTCTCTCTCTCTCGCTCTCTCTCTCTCTCTCTCTCTCTCTCTATATATATATATATATATATATATATATATATATATATATATATATATATATATATATATATATATATATATATATATATATATAAGTTTACCTTTCATCATAAGAGTCGCAAGAAGAAGAAAAAGAAAAAATGCACTAATCAGATGGATTTTTATATCAAAATTTTTGTTTTAGAGTACACCTATTTTTAGAAATTTATACAAGAAAACAAAAGGAATATATAGTGCTCACATGCTTCACAAAATTTATTTGACGTAAGAAATGCGATTTGCACAAATGTTGTCATGTGTTTTGTGTGTGTATGTATGTGTATATATATATATATATATATATATATATATATATATATATATATATATATATATATATATATATATATATATATATATTATATATATATATATATATATATATATATATATATATATATATATATAGGGAAGGGTTATATGGAAAATAGAGCAATAACTCCTCAACCAATGAAAACATGAATTACGTAAATGGTCCGTATGGTTTGGTATAATTTGTGTAGATATCCCTAACTTCTATTTTAGAAAATATGGTTGTTTCAATTGTAATTATGGTTTTAAACCCACGATCAAAGAAATTACAGTTACCTTTAACGATTAAAAACTAACATCAAGAATTTTTAGTTTCCAACTTCTGTTCGGATGAAAGTAACATGTGTTAATTTAAAGAAGTAATGGAAGTTAATATACACTTTCCTTTTAAACCGATGGATTTCCATTGACATATTTAAGAATAAATACAAATCTTATGAATTTGTAATTTATGACTTCTATTTTAATTCAAAGTGTTTAATTAATAATATCAAGCATTAATGGAAGGAAGTTATAGGATGTTTGATTCATCCCAAAAAACCTAGTAAGTTAAAAGATGTTTAATTCAATAAATTAGACAGTTATTTGAATATGTAACGGTTATTTGAATATGCAACAACTTTGTTCATCATAAAAAAAAGGTTAACCGTCAATTACGTCCCACTAAGAATGAATTTTCCAAATTTTAGAATACTCAAGATCTAAAACTATTTGATAGTTATAATTTATCCATAATTTAAAATATAATAAGTTTAGGATCAAACACACAAATTATCCTAATTTAGAGGGACCATTCGTGTAATTACACCCACTAGAGAATAAAGTAACACGTGTCAATTATTCATTCGTTCCTAACTTGATGCCCTAGTTTTTATTTTCCATAGAACCTAATCATATATATATATATATATATATATATATATATATATATATATATATATATATATATATATATATATATATATATATATATATATATATATATATATATATAGAGGTTAATGCGAAAATATAAATATCTTGCGAAAACGCGAAAAGAGATTTTGTCTTATAAAAATTAAACAAATGTACTTTAAAAAATAAAATTTTCAACAATAAATTAAAGATAATAAGTTTACATTGGATTGTGTTATGATAATATAGATTTAAAATTGTTTTTTATAATTACTGTTTTTTCTCTTTGTTAACCATTTTTAAATTCACGTTTTCACAATAGAAATTTCAAATATCATACTTTGCTAATATAACATAATTTCTCATCTATTATCGATTATCATCATGTATTTCAATGTTTGGATGGATTATTGTCCAAAAAGATAATGTTGAGGTGCCACAATCTCATAGTTTTTCTTGTTTTCGTGTTTTCGGATTAATCCTCCCCTATATATATATATATATATGGTTAGAATGCCTAATTTTGTGAGACCGTGAGACGCAATCCGTGCCACTCATTTGGTAGATAAAATAACATTTTTAAAATGCAAAATAATTGAAAATTTTTAATTTTTTTTCAAATATAATTTTCGAAATTTATATTTTCCAAAAAAAAAGAATAATAAAAAATATATTTTTTACATATTCTAGCAGAATATTAGAATATTATATATATCTGACAAATCTAGTAGAGTATTCTAATATTTTAAAAATTATATTAAAATATTTAAAGTGTAATATTCTATTAGAATATTTTACGTATTTAAAAAAAAATGGTAATTTTATTTTATTATTTTTTAGGTAATTAAAATTCCGAAAATAATAATTAAGAAAAGTATTTTGGATTTTTCTTGTTATTTTGCTATTTTGCGTTTTCAAATTAATTCAGTTTCCCTTAAATAATAATCTATTTTCTGTCCATTTAAAATATATTTCAAGGGTACTATATATACTGGTAACTCGTACTATGCATTCACATTCCAACCTTAATAATCTCCTGCTACTTATATCACGATATTAAATCCATTAGACAATTATCAGAATAAAATATTTGTTATACCCAAGATTGTGTTCATAGGATACAATAAAATAAAGGATTAAATATGACTAACGATAAATCTTTTGGTATCGATCATTGACTAGTACTGGGTTCATTAAAACTCTTGAATGGTGTTGATGATGATTCAGCAGTAGTTGGCATCGTTAATACCTGCTTGCCCTTGCCCATCACGCCGTCTATATTAGCTTGAACCGTAGATGGAAAGTGTGATGTCCTTATGGATTCTAATTCGTGTTCAACTTCCATCATTGTGGGCCTATCTTTCCCCTTTATGCACAAGCATCGCATAGCAAGGTTAGCTAGTGCCAATAGTTCATCCGTAGTACCCTCGTTAATGACCATTTTATCAAAAATCGAGATCACACATCCTTCTTCCATAGCTGAAATGAAGTGCGTAGCCAACTGCATTTTTTGACCGGATGTAGTTTGGAACATTGATTTTTCCCCGGTTAAGAGTTCAACCAAAACAACTCCGAAGCTGTATGCATCACACTTTTCATTAAAGTGCTCGGTTTGCAAGTACTCTGGGTCAAGGTAGCCAACGGTACCAATGACCATAGTAGTCAAATGAGTCTTATCCGGTGATATATTCCTTGAGGTTCCAAAGTCGGAAATTTTGGCCATGTTGTTATCATCTAAAAGTATATTGCTGGTTTTAACATCTCTGTGGTATATCGGGATGGACGTTCCTGATCCTGAATGCAAGTGCGCAAGTGCTCTTGCAACTTCAGTAGCGATTTGTATTCTCATTTTCAATGAAAGTGGAAATTCATTGGCTTCTTTGTGAATGCGGTCGTATAAGGTTCCATTTGAAACGAATTCTGAAACAAGTAAAGGAACCTTGGTCTCCAGGCAGCATCCCAATAGCTTGACCACATTTGGATGAATGACTTGGGATAAAATGACCACCTCATTGATAAATTGTTTATTGATTAATTTTTCTTTTTGGCTTTCAACAACTCTTTCTGATTTCTTAACAGCTACGGTTCTTCCATCAAGTAGCATCCCTTTGTAAACTGTACCTTGGCCTCCCATACCAAGAATTCTCTTCTCACTGAAGCAGTCAGTGGCTTTCTCTAATTCACGTAAAGAGAAAAGCATAGTTTTGCCAATTGAGGATGGGTCGGATTTTTCTTGTTGTTCTAGTAGTTGGCCCCCATTCCGTTTAAAATATCTCATTCTGCGTCTCTTGGCTATTGCTTCGTTGATCACCTTGTACGAGGCATAGCTGATCGCCAGAAGAACAAGTACACCGATGCTTATGCTAATACCTGAATTAATTAGGACAACACGACATCAATTTTTTTTTATCTATTTGAACATAAAACATGAATTTTCAATTTTGCACCAAATGAAATATGTTTATGTTTAATTTATTTATTTATTTTAAAATTAAATCTAATCTATTTTTAAACAATCTAAATAACCATCAATCGCAAGAAAAAAGAATATTTGATTTATGATATCGATATTCAATTTATAATGGTTTACTTTTGTTTAAATAAAGTTAATTATCTTACACAATAACAATATTTTTATTTATATTTATTAATAACATGTTTGGAATTGTCCATTTCAGACCAAATAAACGATGATAATTAAATATAATGATTCATTTCGTTCAACTATGTACGTTTCTTCATTACATTCACGTATTATTTCATTCTATCATACAAACTAGATCTTTTGTCAATTATACTTGAATAAGAGATCATACTTGGACAAATATCAATTTTAGTGATCCAAAAACCAAAATAGTGGTTGAGAATTGAGAAATCGACATCTAACTAATAGTTTGGAAAATAATTTTCAAAATATCCGTTTTATTAATTTTTTTTAAAGATTATGAAAAGTGGATAATAATCCTAATACGAATTTCAAGAGCTCCTGTCGAATATAATTTGTATATGGATGACGAATTTCAACATCTCCTCTCGAACATAATTTGTATATGGATGATAAACCATTACCTAGAATACCACCAATGGATAACGTGGGTTTAGAATGTGTTCGATTACCGTTCATGACGTGAGAACAAACGAACTCGTATTCGCTAATCCTGTCATAATCATCATATACATGATAGTATTCACACGCACCTCCGTCCTCTGTGCACCTTGCACATTTTTCATCATCTAAAAGCACGTCATATAAGAAAATGTGTCCTGTGAAAAAATGTTCACCGATACACAAGTTCGCTAGAAAAGTAAAACAAAAACTTAAATACCAAATACAAAATTACATACCGTAGCATCCATCAACTAAATAAGGACTTCCTTTATTGCCCATTGGAAAAATGCATTTCCACGACTTGATTGAACCACCATTACCCGTATCAGCTTTGAGATTAAACCCCATCGAACAACACTTTATTCGACTGAACTCACGCTCTGACAAAGTCCACAGCAGTGATATGGGGATGTAAGTGTTGTCCCCGGCAACAGATTTGCCAGAAAACCTTCCCTCATCATAGGACTTCTTGTCCACCAAGTAGGCAGACCCACAAGCTTCATCCCCACCCTGCCTTTCCAAGCCGGTGAGATCCATGCTATAACTCTTAAGATAATAAGGAAGTCTTGTTTGGCAACAAGTAATGCCAAAAACTGTGAGAAACGAGGATTAATACAAAAACTGTGAGGAGGTATCTATGAATAAACGGTGGCATGCATGGAGCTATCTATATATAATGCATGGTAAATTAAAACTCTTGAATGTGGTTGTTGATGATTCAGTAGTAGTATGGCATCGTTAATACCTGCTTGCCCTAGACCTTGCCCATCACGTGGTCTATATTAGCTTGAAGCGTAGATGGAAAGTGTGATGTCCTTATGGATTCTAATTCGTGTTCAACTTCCATCATCGTGGGCCTATCTTTCCCCTTTATACACAAGCATCGCATGGGTTAGCTAGTGCCAATAGTTCATCCATAGTACCGGCCCGTTAACGATCATTTCATCAAAAATAGAGATCTATGAATAAATGGTGGCATGCATGGAGCTATCTATATATAATGCATGGTAAATTACATAAATGAATGGTCCATGTGCGTGCTTGTTTGGCATGATTATTCCGATTTATAATTCAATTTCTTTTGCATAGTTAGTCCAATTAATTAACTCCATCAAAACACACGTCTACGACGTATAAAAAACAATTTTAATTTTTAATTTTTGTTTTTTGGCTATATAAGAATGTTCATGAGACGAGTATTAGTGATTTTAGTTTCATGACTGCTATAAAACTAAATCTCAAAATCGGTTCCATCCCGTCTGCCGGGTACCTGGTATATTAATTTCACGTATATTAGTGTTGGGTAACCGGAACTGGAAACGCCTTGGAACCGACGATTCCAGAATCCGAACCACTTTAAGCGGTTTGGGTTCCAATTCTTATTTTTATAGAACCGCTACTCTTTTGCTCGAGCGTACCTGTAGCTTCAAGGTGTGTATAATCATAAATGATTATATGGTAGAGAGGTATAATCATATATGCTTATATATGTTTATACGTATATGCCTAATCATAAATAATTATATATATATGTCTGTACATAGATTGAGTAATCATATTTGATTATGACAATCTATGGCAGAAGAGATGGTGGTAACAGAGGTAACGATATTTTATTTGTTATCTTCAATAACACCATTTAAAGTTGTAGATTTTTAGTAATTTTTTGAACCTTTAAGGGTTTTAAGAAACATGCACATATTTTTTCGTCATGTTATTGAAGCTAATGATATTTTATAATCCTGATTTTTAATACGTAGCGAATTATATATTGATGTTTTCGATAACTTCTTGTAAATGTATAATAGATATAATTTTATAAGTTTTTAAAAATTTAACAAATTTAATGAACCGGCTATCCAGTATTGGAACAGCTAGCCGTCGGTTCCTGATGCCAACATTTTAGGAATTGGCGGTTCCGGCTCCTGATAATTAAAGAGGGTATCCACCTTTACTCATCCCTAGTTGTAACGATGTCCATGAGACAATTGACTTGAACACAAAAATGCAATCATCAAGGCCCAAAAGGACAAAATCGATCTATCTGAAACTTATTTGTTAATTTTTTATAACTATTGGTATGGGTGACATATTCTACATTTTTTTACTATGTTCAATATCTTGACCAACAGCTAACATCTTGAGTGATATCCAAGATACTATTATCATATATCTTGATGTTATCTCACATATTTCTTATGTCTTTGATATATATGATTAAAGATCCATTACAAGAAAACTCCATTTTAGTGACGGACTAAAATTTGGTCACTAATAACATTATTTGGTCACCACACTAAATTTTGGTAATCCTACAAATTTAACGACCACTATCAGGATGGTCGTCACTCACCCATCACTAAAATGTAGAATAAAGTTTAAATGTATGTCATAGCAAGTATTAGTTACTAAAAAATAGTGGTCGTTATATTGGAGTCTTAGTGACAAAAAATAGTGGTCACTGGATTGGAGGGTTAATGATTAAAAATAGTGGCATTAGAGACTTAGTGACCAAAAATAGTGGTCACTGAATTGAATACCCGGTGACCAAAAATAATGGTCACTAAATTAATGAATTATTGACCAAACATAGTGGTCACTGACTATTTATATATTTATGAGTTTAAAAAAATAGTAACTACAATTATAGTTATTGAATATATGATTGAAAATTGCAAAAAATTTAGGACCATATAATAATGATCACGAAACAAATTTCATTATAAATTTCAAAGCAAAAATGAGAACTATAAACTCATATTATGTAAATGGCCACGATGATAGTTTGTTCGATTAAAGAGCATTATGGTAATTTCACATTAATGATATAGTGTTAGATAGTATGGTGTCATTACATAGCTTCTCAAAGTAGTGACTTTTACCCATTTGATGTTAGGGTAATTTCGTAATTTGGTATAATGGGTTTCGGAGTAATAACAATCCTAGTAAGGTTCTTAGCGGAAATGATTAAAAGATGAAAGGGTAATAGCTTAAGTACGATTAGTTGGGGGTGAAATTCTAAAAAATAAATGCAAAATATGGTTATCATCTCCATTACGTATTTACGCTATATAGACCTCACATCACTTTCCTTTGTTTGTATCGACCACCGCCACCATCCTTACCTCGCTTTCCATCTTTCGTCGACGATTCTTCCTGGCGCTGCTACCACATCGAACATCACCACTTTCACCTTCGTTCACTTCAGTACCATGCTCTAAAGTTTGAAGCCCTATATATCCCAATTGAAGCTTCAATTATCATTTCCCCGAAGTTTGATTGATTAAGGTGTGATTAGGGTTCGAAAAACCTCAATTGGAGCCTAATTCCTCGCATTTGATGTTGCGTTCATCATTACTTAACGTCGAAGGTAATGTTATCCTTTCATCAATCTCTCTTCTTTTCTTCCTCGTTGATTGCTCATGGATGACATCCTCCTCTACCTACTCTTATGGTTTTGCACTCCATTCTGACTCTTGTTCACAATCACACACTTACACAAGCATGTACGAAGACACACAATCGAAAAACCATAGAAATACATAATCACTTAGTGTCGGCTTAGCCCATGTGCAATATAGGCATTGGAACATGCTCAAAATCTTAAGGGGCCAAATTTTTTTTTTGGTAGTGTACACAATCAGGAATTTGCAGCCTATTAATTTGAATTGATTGATTGAACGAAGGCACGCATTGAAGCGGGAAGCCACATCACGATTCACGATCATCGACTAGTACTCGTTCGTTCGTTTAAAAAAAGCGATCGACAAAGACAGGAGAAGGGTGAATCGTGAAAGCGATTCACCAATTCAAGCATTCAGCAACAACAAGACAGCAACTCAGTGACTTAGCGCCATTCACTCATTCAACAAGGGTCGATGATCTTGTATGAGAAATTGAGCATTATCAAGGGTCAATCATCTCCTGCTAATCAACCAATCAGGTAATATTTATGAGAAATTGAGGATTATCAAGTTTATAGTTGTCAATTGAATACTTGAATGATTCATACTTTCATAGATTATCAGTTTAACAGAATATTTAATGAATTTAATATTATTTAATGAATTTAATATTTTATTATCAGTTTATCTACTATAGAAATCAGTTTAATAGAATAGTGAATGAATGAATTAGTTTCTAAGATTCATAGAAACCAGTTTAGTAGTTTAAATTATGTGTTTATGTTTATTGTAAAATTGTTTATCAAATTATGTTTATTCGAATTTCTTGAATGTTGAAAGTTGAAACTTATGAACTTGTAGTGATGAAGTCTAAACAACCATTCGTTTATCAAAAACATAAAAAGATAAAACTAGATGAAGAAAAGAGAAAGGTTGATGCCGGTGTTGTAGATAAGTTTATCCATAGACAACCTGTTGAAGAGCACACTGAAGAGAATGTTGAAGAGCACATTGAAGAGCATGTTGAAGAGAACATTAAAGAGCAAGAGCATGTAGAAGTAGAAGAGACAGAAGAGCATGAGCCTATTAAAGAGCTTGTTGATATATATGATCTAAGAAGGTGGGAAAAACTTAATTCTGGTGAGATTAAAATTTTGGTTGAGAAAGATCCTAAAGAGATAATAGTATTATGTATGGTCCCTACGATAAATTTGGTAGACGATCTTCTGCAGGTTTGTATACAAGAACTTTATCGAATTTGGAGAAGTGTGATTAAGTATGGATAGTATATTCGAAAGAGCTAGACAGGGTATTTTGTTTCTGTTGTAAAGTGTTTAGAAAAGGGATTTTGAAAGGTAAATTAGATGGTGAAGGTTATGCAGATTGGCACCATGTTACCACTAGGGTTAAAGAACACGAAATTTCTTTGGATCATCTTACAAATAGGAATAAGTGGTTTGACATGCGTAAAAGATTGAACTTGAACAAAACAATTGATAAAGTTCAACATGAACAGTTCAAGAAAGAAAGAGATTACTGGAAACAAGTTCTTTTAAGAATTATTGCAGTAGTGAAGTTTCTTGCTAAACATAATTTAGCATTTCGTGGATCGAATGATAAGTTGTATAAAAAGGTAACTATAAATTGTATTTTTTTGTTCCAGTACCACCAAAAATCTTTTTGTAAATTATGATGACTGATTCCAATTCTTATTTGTTAATTGTATTTAATAGGTAATGGAATTTTTTTTGGTGTCATTGAAATGTTGGAAGAGTTTGACCCGATTATCAAAGAGCATGTGCAACGGATCACAAGTGAAGGGCTTCATGTGCATTATATTGGCCACCTAATCCAAAAAGAACTAATATCTTTGCTAGATGAAGAAATTAAAAAAAGAACTTATCAAGAAGATAAGGAAAACAAAGTACTAATCAATCAAACTTGATTGTACTCCCAATTTAAATCACCAAGAACATATGAATATAATAGTGAGGTATTTAAAGTTATCATATAATTTTGTTACTATCGAGGAGTCTTTTTTTGGTTTTTTGAATGTTGATGATACCTCCGGAAAAGGATTATTTGAAATTACACTTGAAGAGTTAAATTCTCTTGGTCTTCAAATTAATGATATGCCTGGTCAAGGCTATGATAATGGGGAAAACATGAAAGGAAAACACCAAGGAGTGAAAAAGAGATTTTTAGATATAAATCCTAGAGCATTTTACACTCCTTGTGGTTGCCATTCTCTTAATCTAACATTATCTGATATGGCTAACAAGTGTGTTAAAGGAAAGAACTTTTTTGGATTCATCCAACATATTTATACTATCTTTGCAAATTCTACTAAGAGGTGGGAAATTTTGAAAGATAATGTTAAAGCTTGGAGTCTTAAGTCATTGTGTCAAACTCGTTGGGGAATTCTGGTTGAGAGTGTCAAGGCTATTAAACTGCAACATGTGGATGTACGGGAAGCTTTACTTCAAGTTGGAGAAAAAGAGAATGATGTTGCAATTGCAAGTGAAGCAACTTCACCAGCAGAAAAAGAGCTTAGTGACTTTGAATTTTTGGTATCAACTGTTGTTTGGTATGAAGTACTAAACCATGTGAATATTGAGAGTAAGAAGCTATAATCAAAGGATATGAATCTTGATAATGCTATTACAAAATAAGCAAATTGATTGGGTACTTCAAGGATTATAGAGAAACTGGTTTTTCAAAAGCGATTGTTGAAGCTAAGGAGATTTTTATTGAAATGGGTATTGATCCAATATTTCCACAAAAGAGTTTGATTGAAAGCAAAAAAAGGTTTGATGAGATTTCAAGTAGCGAAGAAGTTTCATTTACACCTGAAGAGAATGCCAGAGTCAATTATTTCTTATACATAGTTGATCAAGCTATTTCTTTTCTTGAAACAAGATTTGAACTATTCAAAGAGTATGATAAAGTATTTGGTTTTTTATTTCCACATTATTTGAGGGAATTGAAGATAAAGATCTTAAGTTATATTGTCATCGTCTTGAAAAAGCACTCAAGTTTGACGAAAGATCGGATATTGATGCCGAGGAGCTTTGTACAAAGTTGAAATTATTTGAGACATCGGAAACCATTGAATTTAGCAACCCTATAGATGTTTAGAAGTTTTTGAAAAAAATGATTATTTCCTAAATGCAAGCATTGCATATAGAATATTGTTGACTATTCCAGTAACGGTTGCATTTGTAGAAAGGCGTTTTTACAAATTCAAATTTGTGAAATCTTACCTACGCTCGACAATGACCCAAGAAAGACTTAGCAGTTTGGGGATGATATCTATTGAGAACAAAATCTTAGAGAGTATAGACTACGAAGAGTTGATCAACCAATTTGCAATCAAGAATACTATCAGATATGTTATTAGTCATTAAAATACGTTGATTTTGCTATGTTTATTGTTATAAGGTTTATCGTCTTTTTAATAAAAAAAGTAGTTTATTTAATTTAATTCGTTAAAGTGTTACACGTTAAGGCCTAAGGGCCTTTTTTATCCATTTCGTCCTGGGCATTTGAATCCTCAGAACCGGCCATTCACTTATGAAAGGAGTCGATTTTTCTTTAATTTTATTGTATGTTTCCGATTGAAGGATGTCAAGTTGGCGTTTCCTCCACATTGTTTAGTTTTGAGGTTTTGTGATCAATTTGTTGTGTGTGTCTGATGAATGTTGGAGTTTTTTTTGATTTTTTTATTTGTCTTCCAAATTCTAGAGATTTTGTTGATTTGATAGGGTCGAGGTGTAGATGTTTCCTAGTGGCTTTGTTTGATTTTCCTTTCACAATGAATTGATCTAGGATCAATTGCCTTAAGTATGAGTTTTCAATTGCTCCACAAGGGATTCCCTCTTTGGTTACACTTCATTCCTAGAATCCAATTCCGGACAACAAATGGCCCTTACCAAGTACTCCATTACCACACACAATTCAAATTATAATTTCATAATGTCTCTTATCCAATACATTTTAAGTGTCTTTTAGTAGGTAAATGGCATCAATCAAATCTATACATGTATTTAGGACTTAACAGACCTTGGTGAATAAATGTTCACTTTTTATGTTCTTTGTCTCTTGTGTATGTGGGAATACGAAATATATTCTAACACCTGTTTATTAAATAAATAAATAGAAAAAAATTAATATGAATAATATCCCTAAAATCCATAATATCTCGTGGGGTGTTGGTTTTGGGGAGCCCAATGTTATAATTTGGATTATTCGGGGGTTAAAGTGTAGTATTGAGATTTATTTTTTAAAGATTTTAAGAAGACAGGGGGTATTTGGTAAGTGTTAGACTTAATATGAAAGGATTTATGGAAGCAGGGGATAAAGAGTAAATTCTGGACCTATGTTGAAAAGGTTTTATGGAGGAGGAGCCATTTGGTAACATGAGGACTTCAGTTGAACAAAATTGTAGAGGGAGGGGCTGTTTGGTAAAATTTTGGACTTAATTTGTAAGGGATTTCAGAGGGCAGGGTTTAAATGGTAAATATTGGAGCTAATTTGAAAAGATTCTTATAGGGAGGGCTGGAAGTGTAAAAACGAAACAAGATTTGAAATTCACGGGCATAACCCGTCACCCTCCTAGTTGCCTTCATATATATGGTAACAAGCCCTAACCCTAATGGAACCTCATCATCCGCCACCACCACACTTATACCTCCCTTCCACCTCTAGCGCCACCAGTCGTTCAAACACCACTGTCATGCCCTGCTATCGGTAACGATGAGGACGACCGGCGAAGCTG